ACCTTAGGACGCCTCTTGCTAACGATGCACAAAATAAGTTTAGATGAAGCTCAGATCCTTAAAGACAAGTTCAAAGTTATGGGGCTTGATCCTGAGATGCTGAGTGTGGTTCCTGAGGAAGGGGGTTGGCGGGGACATTCTCCCTGCTCAGGGTTCTGCCACCTCCTCCATAAGGGCTCATTGCAAAACAAATGGTGGACAATATCTTTGCTCTTCTCCTGTCTTGTAATTGTGAAAATCCTCTTCGGGTTTCTTCCTGTGCAGGTTCTAATGCAGGTCTTTCACAAAGTGAAGTGGTACAGAGAGAACCTTTGAAAAGCGGGGGATACCTGGAATAGAGGAGGTGGTACTCCAACCATGTGACACTGTGGACATGGTCAGGCTCTGAGGGAAGCTGCTGGGAAGTGATGGAAATTGATCCTTTCGTGGTCCAGATGGGGAAACCCGTCCATGGACCAGGCAAGTTAGGACTGCACCCCAGAGTTGTCTGAGAATTGGCTCTCGAGCAAGTGACCGCTCCAGGTTTCCCGGTGCCCAACTGTTCCTTCTCTGCTCTCTGGGTCCCAGTTTTGTCATCTGGTAGATGACAGTGGCCCTGCCTGTCTCGCAGGACTATTATGAGATACGTAGAAACACCCCAACTTCTGAATATAGAAGCAGCTCTATGGGCTAATATCCCCCTTCCTGTCCCTTCCAACAGGAGAGAGCATGCCGTTTACATCTCACCCAGGTTTACAGGTGACTGTCTGGGTCTCGTGCTGACTGGCTGTCATTACAAGGCAGTGTGATCCCTGGCCTCTCAGCATCCATGTCCGAACAGACCACGCTGTGTCAGGATCCAGCCACCCTGCACCTAAGAAGGAGGGGTCGATTTGTGAGGCCTCCTACACGGTGTCACTGTCATCAAAGCCCACAAGTAAAGAGCCCATCCTGGGACTGCCCCACACAGAAGATGGCCTGTTCCCGGTGGTGTTTATAAAGGCTCGTCACATTCCCCACCCCCGTAGTCCTGGCTTTAGACAGGGCCAGAGCCAAGCTGACAGGCGGTCCCGACTCTTTGTTAAACTTGAGCTCAGATGGACGTAGAAACACAAGCAGAGCCAAATCATATGTTTAAACAGTTAAGAGGAAACCAGGCTCAGCAAGGAACGACAACCCTGGATTTAGCCGGGGTGAATTTTCCTTCCCTGGGATTTCCTGTCCCTTTTCTGGATGTTTCTATCTATCAAATGTTCCCTGGCAGTCGGTTTAAGGCCATCAACCCTGCGGTGAAAGAAAGCCGTGCACAGTCCTCGGCTTAACTGCTAAAATATCACGGCTGCCGAATGGTGTTGACCCAAGGCCAGGCTTATAGGACTCAAGCTCCCACCTCACCTCCGTCTGTCTGTCTTTAGTGGAGAGAGAGCCCAAACTTGAAGACTGGGCTTAACCAACATCCACAACCGTAAAGGCCAGCACGCCACCCCAACAGCTGCCTGGGGGGCAGGGACAGTGGGACTGGTGGGGGGTAGGTCCTTAAGGGGTGTAAAGTAAGTGAACCCAAAAGTCGACCTCCTGCAACGTTCTTAGACTGCAGTTAAAATTTAACAATTTTTTTTATGTAAATCATCTGGTATGCTCAATTGCAAGGGGGTGGGGGTGCACAAGGAGGCAACAATGGGCTGGGATTAGATAATTTACTTAGTGCTAAAATTCCAGGAAGTTTGTGTTGATCTGGGCCTGGATCTTGTTACTTTTTAGCTCAAATCTAAATCTTTATCTTCCTAGTACAGTTGAGAGGACATTTTTTTACTTAGTCATTTTTACAGTTGTAATTTTTACCCCCTTTCATCAAATAGAGCCGGTTAGATTAGTAGCTCTTAGCACAGAGATGAAAATATTGGTAGAGCCCAATGGGCCCTGTTTTGTTTATCCTAATCGAGCGGGCTTTGATCTAAACAGATTTCCTGGGGTCTGGAGGAGATGACCTAATTCCTGTCTTACCCGTCTCCACTTTCTGTGAATCTCAGATTGCGCTTTTCTGTGGAGCCCTTTGAAACTCACTTTACATTTTTTCCCACTTTGTTACCCCCTCTGACATTTGTTTCATTTGGGGCAAAGCATGTAACTCCTAGTAAAGACTCCAATGCTTTATTTTTCTAACAGGACTGCAAAGTTTTAACAGAGTGGGAGCTTTTTTTTTTTTTTNGGTTTTTTTTTTTTTTTTTTTTTTTATTTCTTTTTTTTTTTTTTTTTTTTTTTTTTTAAGTTCTCTCGTTCTTGACATTCACAACACGCCAAAACCAATAAGCAAATAATCTACCGCTAGAAACTCATGTCAACTGCAAATCATTTAGGATTTTCTGTAGGGGCACTATTTTTTTCTAATTAAAAAAAAAAAAAAAG